TATTCTTATATTTACGTTATATTATTAATTTAAACACCTACTTAACATTTTAATTATTTGTGTAATTAGTAACTTATTACAAATAGTCACTAATATTACAAATGCGTATTGGTAATTATTGAAATAAAATATTATTATTAAATATTTCTATCATATTTTGTCAAAAATATAATAGTATACTTACAAACATTAATTAAATAAGCCACTAAATTTATTTTAATATTATATTTCTCAAGATTATAGTTAATAATTTAAAAAATATTGTCTTTATGTTATATGAAACTTAATAAGTATTTTAAGAATGTGTTGCAAAAAATCGTTTTTTTTTTTTTTATATTTATAGTAGTGTTGAATAAGAAAAATTCTTGGAAGGATTCACGTTACCACTTGTGTTCCTCTACTACTTTTAACTAACTAATTTAGAAAATACTGCCTTCAAAAAAATGTTTTTTTTTTTTTAGTACTGCCCCCCCCCTATTTTTAATTAATATAATTAAAGACAGAATTCAACTTTTGAGAAATTAAAAGCATTGTACTCAATTAATTATGTATTGATAGTTAATATACATCTCTTTTTTCTAAGCTATTTATGTTTATTAAAATTAAATATGCAATTAATTATTGAAAGATAATCCAGCACTAGTTCTATTAAATTTTGTTGAAAAGAAATTCAGTTAATAAATAGTCTCTTTATACAAATAAGATCCATATTTATCATTAAGTTAACAGAATGTGTACTTAATATAGAAAACTATAAATAGCTTGGTTATTTTTATTTCTAATACATTTTATTGTAATATAATTAAAAAAATAAATAAATACACATGCGTGAATTACATAAATTAATAATAAACCTACCGCATTGTTTAATTGCTTTACTGTTGAAGGTTTTTATTTTAAAATATATTTTTGTTTACATATTTCAAGTCAATATGATTAATTTAAAATTTATGAAAATCAAACGTTGGTTTGAGGTATTCTTTTTCAAATACCTACTTTTATACTTTTAATTTATATTTTTAAATTTACAAATCAACATTTTAATTGAATTAAATAAGAACAAAGAACAAAATAATCATTTTACGTACCTTAGTATAAATTTCTAATCTTAAATTCTAGAAGAGCCAGCAGGAATTGATTATAACTTATGACACATATTTTTCATTCTTCATAGTTTCAATAAGTAAATTCCATTGGGTGCAATCAGAAATTCAGTTTCATTCGATCAAATATTCTGAGAGGATTTTTGAAGTTTTCACGTCATATTGTACTGATGTTATTTGTCTTATACTCTGGACAGTTTTGATGATTTTTCTGTCGTCGTTTAGGAATTGTATATTTTACAACAGAATAGTCTCTTTACACTTATTGCAAACACTACTTTATTTTGTTGTAAAAACATATAGTTCATAATCATATAATATGGAAACTTATGTTTTATTGATGAAAACCATATTTTAATATAACAAATAACCCGTTGGTCTACAGTTTAAATAATTTGAAAAATATTCACACAATTTTAAATTTGTGTATCAATTAACTATAATTTAAAAAAGTCTTATATTAATATCATTAACTATTTTGTTTTTAAAACAATTTTATAATGTTTAATGTTCGTGACGCGTAAACTTTCCAGTCTCAAGGGAGAAGATATTAAATTTTGGTCTTTTTTTCCATATAGTAACTGTGAAGGACATTAAATTCATTAATTATAATATAGTTTAAACGAAAAAAGTATAGTTTTAATTAATTTATATAAAATGTTGTGTTATTATAGACATGCGTGTATTTTTATAATTTATCTTCAAAATATAATAATTAATAACTATTCATAATAATATTATTGTATAATTTTAGATAAAGTTGTATTATTTTTGAAGGTTTTTTTTTTTTTTAAATTTTTGAATCGTTAGATTGATTTGCCTTTTTTGGGTGTATACTACAAGCATATTCACAAATACACTTATTTTACTTCGATGAATATTGTAATGTATTTCAATAGGTGCTAAATTTTTATTCAGATTTTTAATTTAAAATAAAAGACGAAAGTGTCATTAATGGGTGGCTTCTTCAATAAAATTGTTTTTCTTCTATTGATGTGAATTATTATATAATCTTATTGGGTCGCAAGAACAAATTGTGTATTTATAATAAGGTTAAAAAAAAAAAAAAAGAAAGAAAAAAAAGATTTTTAATTTAATTTAATTGAAAACTTTTTACTGTAAAATATTAGGGTTAGAAATTACAAAGATATCAGGTAAAAAAAGTCCATGATACATTCATTTCAAAAATTTGGGAATAAGACAAATTTCACTAGGAACGTAAATTCAAGTAATTATATCGTCGGCATTAAACGAAAATAAAACACTGAAGATTATCGATAACTGTATAGTTATATATTATGATCTGATTAAAAAATACATCGAAGATAATATCCTCATACATGAAACAGTTAAGTAAAATTTAAAATGTATTTGACCTAATTTAAATTTTAGTACACGTCAATATCATTATCGATATTTAATAAGAAATATTTGATCTAATTATTTACTGGTTACTGGTAAAACAGATTTAAATCGAATAACTAATACATATAATAAATTAGTATTATAAACTTGTATTAAAGTAAAAATTTTAACTCAACTCATCTTTATGTTTTTTTTTTTTTTTTTTTTAAATCATAGTTAACCTTTCAAACATAGAATTATATATACAAATTAACTATGTTTAGAAGAATTATACAAATATATTATACATAAAATGATTTAAATGAAAAACATTAAACTTAAATCGTTGACTATGTTAAAATATTAAGTAGATACAAAAAACTTTTTTTAGTACTATATTTATTATTATTATTATGATAATTATGGTACGTATAAATATATGACAATTTTTATAATTTTTTTATTATCTTATTGATTTTAATAAAATAATATTTTTCTCATCTCAAGTGGAATGTATGTGCATTTAAAATTTTTGAAATTCTTAGATTTCATATCATGTTTATATACCTTATGTTAATTTTTTTTATGGCTTGTAGTTTAGTTTACATGTACTTATTTAGATAATAATTTTTATTTGTAAAAATAAATAATAATTACAATCAATGTATAATGGTTAAATAGGCAAATTTGATTACATTTTTAGAGTAACGAGAATAATTTAATTGGAAAAGCACTCAATAGTGTCACCTAACAGATTAAATTTAAATACATAGTATTATTATTACTATACTTTGTTGACAATTATATTTTCGGAAATAAATTTTCACACATTTTAATTTATGTGCATTAGTAATTTGTTTGGTAGAAGTAGCTCATCTGGATATCTGGCGTATTTCAGATGGTAAAATATTTTTTTTAAATTTCGGTACAATGCATTTTTCATATATTTTAGACAAACTTATAAGCATATCCCAATATATCCAATGAGTTTTAAAATCTTTTTACAGAAATAAGATAGTATTACATGGAAATATCTCTGATGTAAATACTTTTAAAATAGTTATAATTTTGAATATTATAATGAGCTTGTCTTTGTCATTATTTTAAATTCAATGATTTTATCTGTTTAAAATTTTAAAATTATCAAACAGAAATTGTATTCTGTATACTCGTCCATAATGATTTACTATATATTATCTAACAACGATTATTTAATTGCAGTAGATTTAAAATAAAAGCTAAATTGAAACCAATAATTATTTAGAAGCTAAATACTTTTTCGGTTTAAAACATTATAAAATTATTAAATATTTTATACTTTGCTTTAATTAAGAAATGCTTCTTTTTTTTGTAAGAAGCGTAAAAACATTTTGAATTCTGGTTAAACTCCTGATTCCTTTCATTTTTTTATTAACATCCACGCAGAAATCAATAAAAGACTTTTATGTTTTAAATTTATATATCGAAATCTAAATTAAATTATTGCTTTTCTGTCAACTTTAAAGCAATGATTTTTATTTTCTAATACCTACAACAATAATACAACAAGTAATAATTAGTTGATTTTAATAAAAAATATTAATGTGAGATTACTGAGTAAAATATTTGAGTTTATGAAGATTTTATATGATATCCGTAAATATAGATTTAAATTTAAATATATATCTTTTTATCCACATTATTAATTATTATCTAACCATATAACAATTTATTTCCACTAACTCGTTCTATTGAAAATATTAATTTTATTCATGTCGGTACAATAATGACCGCGAGTCCGTGATCATCGTCTGCAACATCATAATATTAAACAATTTATTTAATTGAAACAATATTTATTTGTTTATCCGGATTATACTGCGGATCCACGGTCGTATGTCACTCGTTAAAAATAACGCAATTCAGTGAATAGTGACGCTAACGTACGTCATTAACATATTAAGGAGTTGGTCTTCATTCGCAACCATCGGTAAATTAAATTTTCGATTTCGGCGTTATCATAATAACATCACGCCCGATGCCGGACCACAAAATAATATTTTTATTTTATAATTTGTTTCAAACATTCCTCGCACGTCCTTTCAACAAGTCAGCTCATCGGATTCACGATAGCCATTTGTTATTTATACACCGTGGTAATATATTACACTCATCTTGGTAGGCGAGTTTTCAGCGGGGTGGGAGGGGGGTGCAGTACGCGATCGGGTTGCTGTGACTTGTCGGCGTGGCAGGACTCGGGTAAGATGCTAGCGTGCGAGTCGGAAGAGTGTGACAAATGGTGAGTTGGGGTCAGAGGAGGCAGCGAGCGATTGTTCTTTTGACGCCTCTAATGGACGTAATTTTTTCGTATAACCCGGCTCTCACCCCCTAGAGATGAGCCATTTCCCAACCGCCCCCGTCTTTTTGCCAGCCAACGAGATGCAAGTCGCTGCGAGTCGGCTGCTCAACCAGCCTGCCGCCGCTTTCATCGCCACCTCTCAAAGGGACTCGGCTGCGGCGGCGGTGGCATCAGCGGCGGCGTTCAACGTTTTGCGCACGGCAGTCGGACGACAATGTTTCGCCCCGTCGGTAGTGTCCTCCCGTCGATTGCCGCGATCACGACCGAAGAGAATACGAATACGACTTCGACTACGGTGGTGGCGCAACGGTTGCAGTCGATGTCAAGCGGTGTTGTTCGCGTCGTGTCGGCCGATACGGTTTTCGTCTAGTGTGACATAACCGCCGTGCGTGGGGGTCCTCGCATATCTCTGCCATAAGACAATTTCAAAAAAAAAAAAAAAAAAGAAAGAAAAATAGTAAACGTTATTTCCGTTTTTATTATAACTATCGTCGTCAATTTTTTTTTCTCTTATCGCGTACCGCTTATTATTATTATTGTTATAATAAAAACTGTATCTAAACATTACTGCCGCGCATCCGTACACGACGAATTTCGTCCGCGTGTCCGATGGCGGCCTTGTTCCTGTCACCGTCGTCACATTACACACTATTCGTTTACCTATTACTCATCCGTAAGTGATATGCATACTTATAAAAAAAAAAAAAATAATGCAAAGATTCCTTTAAATTCATTTTATATTAGTGCTGTTAGTTCATAGATACGTCACATTTCGTGCAGTTGTTATCATGTACCGGAGAATATATTTAAATTTTTGCTTGTAAATATAAACTTCAGTAATACAACTTAGAAGGGACCTTTTTTTTCTTTTTAGGCCTTTATTAGATTATGTTAATGTTACGTGATAAATAATATTTTATTCGCAATTATAACGATAATATTTCAGTTCTCACGTAACAAAGACATTTATTGAGAAAAATTTAGGAATTTCTGATCGTGTTACCTATAACCCTATCCTACTACGACCTATTCCGATAATAACCGTATGCCGTGATTAAAACGACTGAAATTAATAACAAAACACTGTGCACAATATCAATATATTAAATACAACATGTAAGAACATACGAGTAAATATTAACTGTTGAACACTTGGCTTTTCATGTATAAAATGCATACATATTAATATATTATAGAAATATTAGACGAGCTAACAAAATATTATTATGCCCAAGACAGTGACGTTGTATGATATAGATAGGTATTATGTTTTTTCCCACGTTTAATAAGAAAGCCGCATGATATTGTAGTCACTGCGGGTTCGTACTTAGAAGGAAACATATATATATATTTTTTTTTAATTTTAGAGGACTGTGGTCCCTTTGGACATTATATTCAATAAATATTATTCTAAAAAACTGTGACATCACTAGAGAAATGCTAAATAAGGTCATACTTTTATGCTTTAAATGTATAAATACAACTAAATTTATTTTTCTCATTCTTGACAGATAACATAATTTAATGTATATATTACCCTAAATGTTATACACTATAAATTTGCAAATTATAGATCCACTCAAATGGTAGTTTCAGTTTTATTTAATACAGAATGCCAAATTATAATTATCTTTAAAAATTGACATATTAATAAATATATTAACGATATTTCGTCAATAATATATGAATTGGGCAATAAACAATTTATATAATAGCTAACTCATACTCAATATGTATTCCACATTTATGTATAGTTACATCATAAAATATGCAATATATAATTTCTTATTTTAAAAGATAAATATAATAACAAATCTCTCAGGCAGTCTAAACTGTACTAACGTTCATTATATTATAAATATTTTTTATTTTTTGTTTTTTTGAAAAATAAGCATAATATGTTATGTATATATTTTATTCAGAACAAAATATTAAAAAAAAAACATTGATGGAATGCACTTTAACTTAAATAAGTATCGAGAACGTATTCAGTTAAGGATATTCAAATAAAAGTTATTAAATAATTAAATTATCAACATTGCATGATCACATTATTTTGTAAAGTGTGAACATACCTATATAATAACATACATTACTTAAATATATTGCACTATTGTATTAAATTATATAATTTAATAATTTAAATTTTACCTAAACATGTAAATAAAAAAAATGTAGAGAATATAATTAAAATTATAAATACACCAAAACGACTTTGAATTATATAAATATTAAATTATTAATAAGAATTATATTATTATTGTTCCATCATAATTCATAATATTATATATGATTCATAAAAAATTCAATTGCTAATTCTTTAGACAATAATTAAATTAAATCAAAATAAATAATATTAATAATATTATAGTGTTTTATTTTACTTATATAATTTTTTTTATTTACTTATTTATACAAGTTTATTACTTTGGGAATGTTGCAAGAAAATTCTTAAGAACTTCACCCCTTTAATCAAAATAAATTAAATTATGTTTCATTAAGTTATAATTGTTTAATAACATTAAACGCTTTGAAAACGGAAAATGGATAAGAACTTGATATTGTGAATAAATTAAAGGTATAAGAATCTACCAAAAGGAATCAATTACAAAACATTTCTAGTTTTATGTTAGAGTTTTGAAAAAAATATATACCAGCTAATTAACTGAAATATATTTTTATATCAATTGATAGACTTGGATTACTTTTATTATGTTAATTTCTATTTATTTTTCAATGGAAAGTTTGATTTTTTAAACTTTCTTAAAAAATTTTATATGCAAATATAGCTACTATAAATTTGAACCAATTTTATAATATAAAATGTAATAACATTTTATAATATGAGTAAACGCGGTTAATAATAATAGTTTCATTAAAAAGTTTATTAATTGTGCCTGAAAGCACAGGAATATATTATGTTAAATATCGTATAGGTTAGACGTATATTTTTAAATGTGTGGTGTAATATTTTAGTTGAATTTATTTTGTTTCAAAGCAAAGTTGGAACATAATTTAATTCACATAATGAGTGGTTAGATAACTGTAATATTGTACTAGTTGGTAAAAATTTCATTTTTGAGAATTAATTTATTCTTAATAATAAATATTTTTATATTATATTTTTTCTCGAGATTATTGAATTTTTGGACTGGCTCATCAAGAGGATTGAGAAGTTATTTAAATTTTAGGTTGAACCCAAGTAAACATAATCTTGTATTATTTTGGTAAACATCTAAAACAGTTAAACCATTTAATTATCCATTGTTTTTTTTTAATTAACACATAACCAGTAGTTGGTGTATGTTAATCGCAATCTACATGTTTGTAAAAATAATTATCGTTAACATTTTTAGTTTAACTATTACCAATATAATGAATACGATACATTGGATATTATATCGTTATACACTTAAACTATATGTATGTTGTATACATAGCATAACATGATCAATCAAGTTGATCTAAAAACGAATTAATGTCTGAACACTTTAAACATATCCATTATAAATGGTAATTGACACATACAATTTGTAACAATGGATATTAAAAATACATTTTGAATTTTGATTATTTTATTATTTTCGCATTATATCATTTTTAAAATTAAATGAATTTAAACGTGTATATTGTAGCCGTATCATTGAATATTATTATATTTCAAGCGTGTTTAATTGAGTGATTTATGTGTGCATAGATTAAAGAAAAATATAATATGTAAGTCTTGACAACTCAGAATCTATATACGTTTATAAGTACAAATTTTTTTATTTGAACAATTTATTTAAAAAAATGAATTTTTGATAGTTGAATAAAACATATTCTGACGTATTATAGTGCTTATCATGTACCATTGCGTTGACATTTTACTAACGACATGTATTCATAAAATATATATAAATATGTAAATATAAGAGACAGACTCGTATAATAAATCTGTCACAATTGTCCAAAGATTTTCTACTATTTAATAATATTAGCGTAGAGATTTAAAAATTATATATTTACGTTATTTTAAATTTGAATAAATTATTATTTGAGATGAGGATACATTTATACGTTTTATATAGGTACTACAAATGTCAACAGCACAGTAGGTACTAATTTGACGGTTCTGAGATTATATTTAAACAGATTTTAATTTATATCAAAAATATAATTAAACAATCTAAACGTGTCTTAAAATATGTTTTATTTAATTTTTTTGGACCTTTTACATACCTAATCTAATTTTTAATGTTTTTCTATCCCATTAGATTGTGAGTAACCATATATGCATTATATTAGTTTTAAAGTTGTTTTTTTTTTTTTTTTACATTAAAGGATATGTTTATGAGTTACAATCATAAGACCATAAGCTAATTTTAACAGAAAAAGAAAGTTTTTCAAAATATTATCATATAGTTGATTTGAAATAAAACACAATTAATATTTTAGAAAGATAAGATTAGTGATTTTTAAAATACCTTTTAAAATTTTAAAAGTAGGTACTAATTATTAGATTTATTTTACGCTTACATAGAAAAAAATATTTACATTGATAAAGTTTAAAACACAGAATATATATTTTATATTTTTATTTTATGAGTAAATTTGAATTATTTAATCGTTGGATTCCTATTTTTAAAATTTTCAATATTTATCTAAACGTCAATTTTAAAAAGATCTTGAAAATGTTTGGTTAAAATCTAACTTAGCATTTGTATGGTAAATATATTTATAGTTTATTAGATTAAATTTGAGGTTATTGTCAGTAAGACGGTATGTTTAAAATAAAAGTAATAAGATCTTATGTTTTTAAAAATAACATAAAATTTAAATTTGTTTTTTGAAATTAATAAAGAGCAAATAAACGTGCGAATTAAGTTATACATGGTTTCCGTTTAGGTCGTAATATTACATAAAAACTTTTTTTAGAGAACTATAAATAATTTGTAAGCACTTCCTGACTGTACTTTATAAATTCATCAAATAGTCTCAAATACCACTTAAACTACAAAGTTGAAAAACCCGACAAACTTCCAATAAAGAACTTGATAACTTAATAACAATAATTCATTAACCAAGATAATATACTACTTTGATTTCTTTTATCTAATTACTCTTTTTTCTAATAAATTATGATTATATTGATTAACTTTGTTATAGTCTGTCTAACAAAATAAAGGTCCTGTTTCGCGTATATGATCGAGCTACGAACTAGGATCGGGTCGAATGTGATGGTGGTATTAATTGTAGAGCGGAGTAGGGCTGTCTGGTTTTCGTTAAAATGCGGAACCTTTCTTTTGTGAGATAGACTATAGGATCACTGATGTATAAAAAAAAAAAATTATAATTATACATAATTACTCATATTACTTTGTAAAAACAGAAAATACCTATTTTCAAAATATTTAGTAAATCGACTCCTTTAAAATTACAATAAGATGAAAATATATTTATTTTTTACTCTGAAAAAAGTGTGTAGTCTTTACTTCTTTGATTTGCTTTATCGCTGACAAACCAAAAATATAATAACCAAACATGAATATGCAATATAAAAAATTAATACTATACTATAAAATATTATGTATGGTTTTATCTGAATAATAAGTTTAAGTGTTTAACTAACGTCAAACATTTTGATGGATGTTTTTCTAAGAGCTCTGGTGGACCGAAATTCAAGCGTGAACG